CTGATTTGCTGTCTCCAGGCTCTTTGGTCCCCCACTCTCCTGCCAGCTTCCCCTCATACCCCTCTGCTGCCCCATGCAGCCCTCTTGCCTGAGCAGCACTGCCAGCACAGACCCCTCCACCATCTGGTCCTGGGCCTGTTGGGTGGGAACCAAGAGCATATCCAAGGGATAAAAGGAGTGACCTGGAGGGATGGCCTCTAAAAGGGTCCCAGCTGGGGACTAGGAGGGACAACGTGCCTGTCATGGTGTTTGGGTCAGTGGCACAGAGACATGCACAGCTGCTCCTGGCCTCAATTACTCGGTGGCACATACAAAGATTTTTCCATTCCGTTTCTGCAGGTGGGAGCTTTGATTTTGCTTGCAGGCTCTCAGCCGCCTTAGCAAGGGGTTGCTTCTGCTTTTCATTAGTATACCAGACATACTAGATCTAACAGCTTCCACAGGTGGCATGGGCTACAGGACGGTTGTCAGCTGTCATCCAGAGTCAGAGTTAATCCAGGAAAACAGTAAAGATTAGTAATGTATATTGCATTCCTCCAATCCATACGCTTTCCATTAGGTGATCTTCCATCCTCCTTAGCACAGAAAGAAAACCCTGCCAATAGCAGTCTTCTGACTCTGAAAGGCAAGGGTTGGTCGTGCCTGGAAATCTGATCTTGGCTCTCTCATTCCTGGACACACTATCTATGCAGGGAATAGTCTCCCACCTTTAAATCCAGGCAGCAGATGCTAATCATGTGCACAACCTCTGCCTGTAAGCCCAGGAGCTTCTGCAGCAGCAGACGTGCCTGGTCTGGGGCTGCACTGGGGTGATGCAACCTCGCATGCCTTTGTGCCAGGGTCCCATGTGCTGCCCTGGGTCTTCCTATGTCCGGACGTGTCTCACGGTAATGGCCTTGTCCAGTGTCACCATAACATCATGCCGGGTCAGGATGGTAATAAGGCACAGTTAATTCTTTCAAGTGATCACATTTTAACTTCTTTTATTAATAATCTGGTGAAGAAATTCCTCTAGATCTTCAGTGTTCAATCGGGTTACAGTATTCTTAAACCAATAAAAAGTGAAACATTCAGCTTGCTTAAATAAACTATCTTCACTCGCCCCTATGTTTTAGTGGCTCAGGAACAACAGTTAGGTAATAAATTCATACAATACAAACTCCATGAGTAATTATGTGCAGATGACGAAGGGGGAAAGAAAAGATTTGCATTTATTTCTGCGTGTGCCTGCAAATGCCTAGTGTGGCCTGGGCTCTTTGAGGTGTCACAAGCAGGGTGGGGCTGCACTGTGTGAGATGGAGCTCCGTGTGTGGAGCTGCAGAAAGGATGGGGGTCTCCCTCTCCAGCTTCTGCTCCAGACAAAGAGAGAGGTCTAGAAAGCTCTGGTTTTGGTGCTGTGGGATCACAAGCTTGCAGAGCTAAGTCTCAACTTCTTTGGGTTTTTTTTACTTCTGCAGAGAATGTGATCAACGGGCAGGACTACGAGGTGATGATGCAGATCGATTGTGAAGTGATGGACACCAGGATCCTCCACATCAAAAGTTCATCTGTCCCGCCATACCTCCGAGAGCAGCGCAGAAACCACACTGACACCTTCTACAGCTCATCTCCCTCCGTCCCAGAGACACCCCATGCCCTGAGGGCTATTGTCAAATCCCTGCAGTAGCTCCTGCAGCAGCAGCACGCAGCACACAGCAGGTCCTGCTGCCAGACTGAGCCCCTTTGCCAGCAGGTCCTTGGGCTCCTGGCACATCAGCACAACAAGGGCAGACTCCACTTAGCCCATTCCTGTGCCTGACCCTACCCAACAGCCATATCCTGCCCAGCAATTATACTGCTCAGCTGGCTTCTTGGCAGGGACAGGCCTGGAGTACCCACACAGAGTGCGATGCCTGGTGCCGAGGGTGTGGGTGAGGCACTCTGCTACAGTCCTGGTGTTGGCATCGGCCACTGGTGCCCAGGGCTGGCATGGGGGACAAAGGACACAGGCCATCATTGCTACCTACGCACTGTCCAGAATTGTGGGTTGCTTGGTTTGTTGTTTTTTTGTTGGTTGTTTTTGTCCCTGTTAAAATCCTGCTGAGGTGGGGTGCTGGGTGCTGGGGTCCTGCCCAGAGACACTGCTGCAGAGGCCCATGCTTAAGATCAGGCTTCCCTCCCTGAAGTGCACTTGGGGCAGCAGGAGGAAGCTTGGAGGAAGCTTGCAGGAAGTTGTCCCTGCACTTGCACTGCAGCCCTGCACCCCATGCTGAGCCAGCCCTTGCCCTGCATCCCAGGAGCAGGAGCATTCCCAGGAGCAGGACCATCCCTGCTCTGCCAGAGCGGCTGTGCTGGGACTGGCCAGATAGTCTCCCACTCCTCTTCAACCCCACATGCCTGCCCAAATCCCTGCCCATGCAGCCTCCCTTGCTGGGAAGCCCTGGGCTGCACCCAGCAGGGTGATGGGAACCCCCACTTACAGCCAGAGCACTACCAGCAGAACAGCTTACCACGGTGGTATGGGCTGAGGCAGTGTGTACACACACATGCAGAGTGGTAAAAGGCTGGAGCTTGCCCCAGGGTTGATGATTTAGTGGAGCACATGTATTTGTGAAGAGTGTACTGCTATTCTTTTTTTGTTGTTTGGTTGGTTTGGTTTTTTCCTTCTGTTTCTTACTTGGTTTGGTTTTTTTGAGGGTTTTTTTGTTTGGTTTTTTTGTTTTGTTGTTTGGGTTTTTTTTTTATATTTATTTAATGCTTTTCACTGCTAACAGCCTATAGAACAGTGCTGGACCTGCTGGGGCAGAAGAGCTGCTTCAGTTCAGTGGGACACAACAGCACCTCCCTCCTAACAACGCAGACACTTGCACACCCCTTCTGTGCCTTGCACTGATAGCCACCCCGTCACACAGCAGGGGAGCTGCTTTTTGTCCCTGAGCACTGAGCAACCAGACATGGCTCTTGCTGCAGCCAACTGCTGCTGTTACACAGCCTGCTGCAGAGCTCTCTTAACTGGTCTGCCAGGCCAGAGCTGGGCCGTGGGGCTCCAGCATGCAGTGCGCTGCTACGTTCAGCTAGGATGAGACACCAGCAGAGCATTGGCCTTTCCTAATGATTTCAGCATGTTACTTTTTTTTTTTCCTCTGTGCAGTTAGCATATAAAATCGTGGGCTTCAGTTTGCCAGCCAATTGCCTTCATTCTCTG